AAAGGTGCAAACGCATAGAAAAATCTGCGTTTTCAAAAATACCCGGGTACGTGTGGACATAGCCGGAAAGAAGTGTCTTGTTTGAAAGCGCTCTGCACAACATTTGTTACAGTGAAAGCATTTTTCATTTACAGAATAGTAACTTATTTGTACAACTGTATTTGTGTGCCTTTTAACACTTTTTGGCATAATTATTATTATTATTATTTTTTTTTACCTTTTCAGAGCAACAATATATTAGTGATGTCCTGGGCCTCATTGACCATGGAGACCCCCAGATTAGAGGAGCTACAGCTATCCTATGTGCAGCCATCATACAGGCTGCGCTCACCAAAACACGTTTCAACATACACACTTGGCTGGCCAGTGTGCAGAGTGCAACAGGTTTGTGTGTTGGTCTTTGTCTTACTTGCATTTTGCAAAGAATTGAGAGTATTTGAAGATGCCTATCATACCTGTCTGTCTGTACTCTAGGTAACCCACTGTCCCTGGTGGACTTGGTGCCTTTGCTTCAGAAGACTTTGAAAGATGAATCCTCTGTCACCTGCAAGATGGCTTGCTCTGCAGTGAGGGTAAGATGGTTTTGTGTGAGTGTGTTGGTAATCTCTACTCTATCTCTGTCTTGCTTTGTCCCTCAAGTTCTTTTTTGTGTCTGTGCTTTTGTTTGTGAGTCTGACCCATTGTTTTTTGTGTGTGTGTGTTTTGTTTCAGCACTGCATCACGACTATTTGCAGCAGTACCCTGAGTGAGCTTGGCCTGCAGTTGGTGATTGACCTCTTTGCGCTGAAGGACTCTTCCTATTGGCTTGTTCGCACTGAGCTCTTGGAAACTCTGGCGGAATTAGACTTCCGGTAGGATACTTTTGTATCCTGATGCCTGTTATATACAGTCTCTGTTTTCTAAAAATTATAATAACTCAACTTTAAACTTTGTATTACCTATAATTGCTTTTTAACATTTTTTTCCTTTTTCCCATGTTTTAGATTAGTTAATTTTTTGGAGAGGAAAACTGAGACTTTACATAAAGGAGATCATCACTACACTGGGGTAAGGTTATTTTCTGATTATTTTTTTTAATGATCTTTTCTTTGAAATATCCTTTCTGGGTTTCTGCATTCAGCTGTTGACTGGTGTTGTTTGTTTACATTTTTCTAGCGTCTGCGGCTGCAAGATAGAGTCCTGAATGATGTGGTCATACATCTGTTGGGAGATGACGATCCAAGAGTACGGCACGTGGCTGCCTCTGCGGTCAGAAGGTGAAATGCCTCTTCACATATAGCACGTGCTATGTCCTTTATGTAGCGGACTGTAAATAAGCCCTTTTTGACTTTCGTCATATCTCTCTTCCTGTCTCTTTACAGACTAGTTTCCAGGTTGTTCTATGACTGTGACCAGGGCCAGGTTGACCCAGTGGTAGCAATCGCCCGAGACCAGAGTTCAGTCTATCTGCAGCTGCTTATGCATGAGACACAACCCCCATCCCAGTTCACAGTTAGCACAATCACAAGGTACACACGCGCGCACGCACTTCCAGTATATCTCGTGCCTCATCAAAGGTCAGCTTAGCCTATATTACTATGAAGAAGTTCTCAACCTTGTTTTTTTTTAGTACAATGTGTCTTATTGTACTCATTATAAGAGCTATTTTCAACCCCAAACATATTTTTCTTGTGATAAGAAATGCTTTGAGCCACAAGCTTTTATAAGATTTTGCAGTTAAATACACAATTCCTGAGGGAACCTTGGAATAATTACTTAAAATTTTGTCGCCAGGACATACCGAGGCTACAACATGTCCAACGCTATCTCTGATGTCACGTTGGAGAACAACTTGTCCAGAGTAGTTGCTGCCGTCTCGCATGCTTTGACCTCGTCTACCTCCAGAGCTCTAACTGTAGGTTTTCAGCTCATTGTTTGCCTGCTCTAAAGCAAGTTTATGGCATTTGTTTCATAACATCTAAATATTTATCATGCTGTCTTCTCTGCAGTTTGGCTGCTGTGAGGCCTTGTGCCTTCTAGCTTCAAATTTTCCAGTGGGCAATTGGAGCACAGGCTGGCACTGTGGCTATGTTAGCTCCAATAGCAACTTTTCATCCCGTTCTAGTCTTAACCGCAGTAGGGGCAGAACCCTCAGGTTTGTATGCTGCACCGATTAATACATTTTTTTTTACATAATCGTTTCAACTCTTTCTCTAGACTCCCCTTACCTTCTGTCTGTTCACTCCTTTCTGCAGTTTATCACAGCCTAGCAGTGCTCCAGCCTCTTCAACCAACTCATCTGCACCAGATGCAGAGCGGAGGACTCTGACTGTAGGAATTGCCAACACAGTGCTCTCCTTATTGTCTTCTGCCTGGTTTCCACTGGATCTCTCTGCGCATCAGGATGCACTGTTACTTTCTGGAAACCTCATAGCTGGTGGGTAATTTACTTTAAGAGTTTCAGGTATTTTACATATAATTTAATCTGACATGAGCATGTTTTACTCTGACATTTGTTGATTCATCACTACCCTAATGATGTTCTCAGCTGTGGCTCCTAAATGTATGCGTAATCCCTGGGTTGGGGAGGAAGAAGGCAGCAGTGGGACCAGTAGTGGAGGCCCGAGTAAGTTGGAGGAACCCTGGGCCGCGCTATCAGAACGCTCCCTGGTGGTCATGGTGGAGCAACTCTTTTCCCATCTGCTGAAGGTCCTCAACATCTGTGCCCATGTGTTGGATGATACACCACCAGGACCAGCAATGAAGGTGCGTTTGATAAGGAGAGTTATTTGGTTTAACAGACTCATGAAAGAAAATATTTGGCACCATGCATTCAGGTGCATTTTACCACAAGTTTGATCTACAGGATGTCTGATGTATTGTGTTCTGTTGTTGCATTCTATACCAACTTTATAGGCCACTCTCCCCTCCCTGAGCAACACCCCCTCCCTCAGTCCCATTCGTAGGAAAGGCAAGGAGAAGGAGGTTGCCGAGCCCAGTGCTACCCCTATGAGCCCAAAGAAAGGCAGCGAGGCCAACACAGGTAAATGCCTCACCGTGCTTAAATAAGGGTACAGATCATCTCTGTGAGTCTCAGAATATTAAGTGGAGTTTTTCTAAGCAGGTAGGCCAACAGACAGTACAGGCTCAACAACTGTAAACAAATCGACCACCCTTGGCAACTTCTACCACCTGCCTCCCTACCTCAAGCTCTATGATGTGCTCAAAGCTACGCATGCCAACTATAAGGTCAGAACACTTCTTTGTTTAAACTTAAAATGATTTTAATAGATTTTTGCTGCCTGTATGGTGGTTTATGGATGGTCTAATGTTTTTTAGGTTACGTTGGACCTTCACAGTAGCCAAGAAAAGTTTGGAGGTTTCCTGCGCGCTACATTAGATGTTCTTTCTCAGCTGCTGGAGTTAGCCACACTTCATGACATCGGGAAGGTAAAGATGAATTTCATCGTCTTTCAGTGTTAAGTTTGGTGCGATCCCTTAACAAGGGGTCTTGTTCATTTCTTGTTAACAACCAATTTATTGATAATCTTCTTCTTTATCAATAGAAGAAGTAACCTTTTTTTCTTTTCTTTTAGTGTGTGGAGGAAATTTTGGGCTACCTCAAGTCCTGCTTCTCCAGAGAACCAACCATGGCCACAGTTTGTGTGCAACAGGTTAGTGTGTTATGTGTTATTGCCTGTGAATTTTAGATGTATATCCTTTTGAATGTGTGGCAGTCTTTGTGGTTCTAGCACTGAGCAGTGTGCTGCAGCCGGTGTGACTCCACACAGAGTGAGGCTGGTTCCTGCCGACAGGGCCTGTAAAGGCATTGGTTCCCCTGTGCGATGGTTCCATACATTCATGTATTTATAGAACAACACACATTAGTATTCTGTCTCAGTGGTAATCTAGTTTTCAGTGTCTTTGATAAGTCCACAGACATACTAAAGGGACTTTAAGGGAGCGTAGGAAGTCAGTGTTTAAGGGGTTATTCACAGCATGTCAATTATGAATAAAAGCAGAATTAAATGTTGAAGTGATTTTGGTTATATAACTATTAATCCTACGGGTGGAGGAGCTCCTAAAGAAAAGAGGTTTCACTGGAGCTTAATTATTGCTGTGTTTTGGGAAAAAAAGAAGGGAATACTTCAAATATATCAACTGATTTCTCAAATTTTATGTAAAGTTGAAAATTATAGTGTTTTTGTATATATTTCTGTTTATATATATTTGCAAAAGAGTTCTTGTGGTAATAAGTTGACTTATTCTCCAGCTGTTGAAGACACTATTTGGGACCAACCTGGCCTCCCAGTATGAGGGCGTGTTGAGTGGACCCAGCCGGTTTCAGGGCAAAGCTCTACGTCTTGGCTCTTCCAGCTTGCGGCCAGGACTCTACCACTACTGCTTCATGGCTCCATACACTCACTTTACTCAGGCTCTTGCTGATGCAAGCCTCCGTAACATGGTGCAGGCTGAACAGGAGCAGGATACCTCTGGGTGAGTTGTAGTAACACACGTCTCCCATACATATGCATAGATGTCCTTATTTAGGAAATAGAAAACTCTCCTTTTTTTTTTTTTTCTGTGACTTTCTGCACATATTTATTCTCCACCCCTGCATATGCTTATAGTGTGTATTCAGTTTTTTTATAGGGGTGTGTGTGGCTTGTGTGTTCCTGTCTAGCTATCTTTGTGAGGACCGAAATCTGCATTCTACTATACTTGTGAGAACCAACAGTCACTTGTGAGGACACACAAGTTTGAAGGCCTTTTTGAGGCTCAAAATGTGGTTTTGGTGTCAGGGTTACAATTAGGTTATGTTTAGGGTTAGGCATTCATTTTTAATGGTTAGGGTTAGGGGCTAGGGAAAGCATTATGCCAATGAACGTACTCACTAAGATAGCTGAACGGGTTTGTGTGTGTGTGTGTGTGTGTAAGTAATATAAAATGTATGAACTAAGTGCGATAATAAGTCTGTGCTTTTTCTTCTTCTTCTTCTTTTCTTTAATTTAAGATGGTTTGATGTAATGCAAAAAGCATCCAATCAACTGAGATCCAGCATCACAAATGCAGCGCGCCACAGAGGAGACAAGGTACGCTTTCATTGTCTTGCTGCTGTTCCATACTGATATTATGCGCTAAGAGTCGCTTATGTGGTCTGCTGCTGTTTTGAGAGTTGCATCTTGTGTTTTCTCAGAATGCCATTCATAACCACATTCGACTGTTTGAGCCGTTGGTGATCAAAGCTTTGAAGCAGTATACCACCAGCACATCTGTGGCGCTGCAAAGACAAGTACTGGACCTGCTCGCTCAGCTTGTGCAGCTCAGAGTCAACTACTGCCTGCTAGACTCAGACCAGGTAAAACAAACACATGCACTTTTTTCTTTTTTGGTCATCTCCAACTTCAAATTTTATAGTATGGCTCATTCAGAAATTTATGTTTTAGGTGTTTATTGGCTTTGTCCTGAAACAGTTTGAGTACATTGAAGTGGGGCAGTTCAGGTATGTTTTGAGTCAGTAAAATTTTCAGATTTCTCCTGTGTATATATATGAACTATTAAAGCTTGTCACATATGTTTCCTGGGTAATAAAATAACTGTTTGCATCACTTACAGAGATTCAGAGGCCATCATTCCCAACATCTTTTTCTTCCTGGTGCTGCTGTCTTATGAACGCTACCACTCCAAGCAGATTATCAGCATTCCCAAGATCATCCAGCTGTGTGATGGCATCATGGCAAGTGGCAGAAAAGCTGTCACACATGGTGAGAGGAATGCATATGACTTATATAATTTTTAATTCCTCTTTTAACTTCCAAAGGTTTTCTTGTTGGTGGTTACATTTACACTTTTCTGCTTCGTCTACAGCCATCCCAGCCTTGCAGCCTATAGTTCACGATCTGTTTGTCTTGAGGGGCTCAAACAAAGCTGATGCAGGCAAGGAGCTGGATACACAGAAAGAAGTTGTGGTCTCCATGCTGCTAAGACTTGTGCAGTACCATCAGGTATGTTTACAAGTAGATGCAGAGACACAGCATGCTACATCATCAGATATTCAACCCACTTTTTCTCTGCCTTGCTCATGCTTTCATGTGTCCGCTGCAGGTGTTGGAGATGTTCATTCTTGTACTGCAGCAGTGTCACAAAGAGAATGAAGACAAGTGGAAGAGATTATCCAGACAGATTGCAGACGTCATACTTCCCATGATTGCCAAGCAGCAGGTAGGAAATTGTTTGCAAGTTTATATGTTGGATTAACCTTGATGGTTAAAGCCAACTAATTTTTGCAGTAATTTATACAGATGCGTGATCAGGCAATTTCTGTTTGTTTCAGTAAGCATATTTGTATGTTTGGTCTCCACAGATGCATCTGGACTCTCCAGAGGCATTAGGAGTATTAAACACTCTGTTTGAGACGGTGGCACCCTCCTCTCTCAGACCTGTTGACATGCTGCTCAAGAGTATGTTCACCATCCCAGCCACCATGGTGAGACATCTCATCAGATAGCGTGCACTTTTTCACAATTTCTCTTGTTTTTAAGTGACTGATTTATTAAAAAAAACAGGAAAAGGTATGATTTAATGTGAAATCTTCTTGCAGGCATCTGTAGCTACAGTCCAGCTGTGGGTATCTGGTATCCTGGCAGTGCTTAGGGTACTGGTCTCGCAGTCCACTGAAGACATCGTGCTTTCCCGTGTCCATGAGCTGGCACTCTCTCCAAATCTCCTCTCTTGCCACGCTATCCGCCGCCTGCATCAGCATAGCCCCTCCCCAAACGACCCGCCTGCTGCTGACACAATCTGCAAACAGGAAACTAATGATGAAACGCAAAAGGCTCAACCTGAGGAAACATTTGCCAGGTTATTATTTACTATCTTTAACAGGCTGAGAAAGGTTTCTACTCTGCTCTGTTTTCTCAGCTACCAGATTGCCTCCAAGGGTCTAACTCTTCTTGCCTTTTTACCTTCTTTCACTTCTCTCTTTTCCACCTCCCATCTAGATTCCTTCTCCAGCTTGTAGGTGTGTTGTTGGATGACATTTCAACCAGGCAGGTTAAAGTGGAGATCACTGAGCAGCAGCACACCTTCTACTGCCAGCAGCTGGGCACGCTGCTCATGTGTCTCATACACGTCTTCAAAAGTGGTAAGCATGTGAAATCTGGGAAATGCACAAACTCCCTGTATGATGTTTTAAAATAATATATCAAATGTAATTCCGATTAAGTTCTTTTACCTATTTTTTTTGTTTTTGTTCCCTCCTAGGAATGTTTCGCAGGATCACAGCTGCAGCCAGCCGTCTCCTGAAGGGTGAGAATGGACAGACAGCCACAGAGGCCAACCTCTTCTACCCCTTAGAAGGTCTGAACAGCATGGTACAGTGCCTCATCACCACCCACCCATCCCTGGTGCTCCTCTGGTGCCAAGTTCTTCTCATCATTAACTACACCAACTACTCTTGGTGGGCTGAGGTTCATCAGACACCCAGGTAAGAACAGTGCGAGGGGATTAACTGGGGTCAGGTGTATTTGTGTGCACTTTTTAATTATTATAAATGAGTCAATGAGGATATAAAATGAGGAGAAACTCTGCACCATCTCCTTTTTAAAACTGTGCCTTGTTTTCTTTCTATCAGACGACACAGTCTCTCATCCACAAAGCTGCTGAGCCCTCATTCCTCAGGGGAAGGTGAAGAGGACAAGCCGGAGTCCCAGTTAGCAATGGTTAACAGAGAGATTGTACGCAGGGGAGCTGTAATCCTCTTCTGTGACTATGTGGTAAGATTACTAAGAATATGGGATCATACTGTTGGGATAAATTATACATAGATCACGGTATACTATTCTCAGCTAGAAAACATGTTGAGAATTACATTTGGGTATATTTGCTCTTTACTATCTATGAAGAACAATGTTTAAATCAAACACTAATGAGCAAAAGTAAATTAGATTTGTAAGTGCTTTACATAATAAAAGTATTGTTTTTTTTCTTACCTTTGTAGTGTCAGAATCTCCATGACTCGGAGCATCTCACCTGGCTGATTGTCAATCATGTTCGTGACCTCATCAGCCTTTCCCATGAGCCGCCAGTGCAGGACTTCATCAGTGCTGTCCACCGCAACTCTGCTGCCAGTGGCCTCTTCATCCAGGCCATCCAGTCCCGCTGTGACAACCTCACTACTGTAAGATAACATCCTATTCATCTTTCTAATCTCTTGACTGCCTGGTTGAAATTTTTATTTTGTTTTTTAATTCTCAATTTATCTTTCTTCCCTGTCCCTGCATCTTACTCATTTCACGCCCCACTGCCCTCCCTTACTATCTCGTTCTCTTCGTCTTTGTAGCCTACCATGTTGAAAAAGACCTTACAGTGTTTGGAAGGCATCCACCTTAGTCAGTCTGGATCTCTACTGATGCTTTATGTTGACAAGCTTCTTAATACACCCTTTCGAGTTTTGGCTCGCATGGTGGACACACTGGCGTGTCGCAGGGTAGAGATGTTGCTGGCTGAGACCTTACAGGTACGTTTTAGTTAAGTGTGTATTTCATTGGAAGTGCATCTAAAAGCTGAACATGTTTCTTATGTTTTTCCCGGTCCAATTTGGGACCTGTTCTCGAATTTTAAAGTGATCAGATGGGAAGAACTGTTAAAGTCAAACGTTTTGTATGTTTAAAAACCCTGATTGTTTTCATTCTTTCACCCTTCAGAACAGCATAGCACAGCTTCCTGTGGAGGAACTGGATAGGATCCAAGAATATCTCCAGAACAGTGGTTTAGCTCAGAGGTAAACCTTGTGTACTGTGTACTGTGCCTGTTGAAATTAGTTTTGCCCTTGGATTAGTCACCTATTCAGAGCACATTGAAAGGATAGACTGAGGAATTGTATGTTGTTTGGATTTCCCAAATAATGCACACAAACTAAAATGTGATATCTCGTGTTGAGTTAATTTACCCAGTAGGTTATTGAGAGGGCTGTACTGAATCTGCAGGTTCTTATATCCATATGTTAACTAAAAACAAATTTCAATTGATTTATTTATTTCTTTTTTAAATTGTAAATTTTTTTGTTTGGTTATTTCTGTCCCAGACATCAGAGGTTCTACTCCCTGCTGGACAGGTTCAGAGCCACTGTTGTTGACACGAGCAGTCCCACTCCTCCAGTGACATCACATCCTTTGGACGGGGATCCTCCGCCCGCTCCTGAGTTGGTCATTGCAGACAAGGTGAGGAACTAGACTTGATGAATCTAATAATCCAGGTTTGTCAGACTGTGCAGACCATCTGTTTACCTGTTTGTTTGTTTGTTTGATTTTAGGAGTGGTATGTGGCTCTGGTGAAGTCTCAGTGCTGTCTCCGTGGAGATGTTTGCCTGTTGGAGACGACAGAACTTCTTACCAAACTACCTCCTGCTGATCTCTTCAGTGTCATGAGCTGCAAGGTAAAGAACGTACACACTGTCTTATTA